ACGTTCCCATTACAAAAAAAATAACATTACTGGTGAGAACATAGAAAATGCCAAAATTCTCAAAGTTGAATAATAAGTTGAATAAATACGAGAAGGTCGAAGTCATTTCCACAAATGTGCATAAATGGACGAAATTGGTAGATAGGGAGAGAAGAACAACTACTTTCCTGTCTATATTCCACGTAGTACATTGAATTACATCCTCCCGAAATCTATACATTAATTAGTATAGACGAATAAAATCGCAAGTGTGTCCTTCTTAAACGCCAAGCTGCGCCTAAGTGGTTCAGGAGCACTTGACTACCTGCAAACAGGTTTCGAGCTTTTGGCTCTCATCAGTGCTGTGCTGTCCCAGATACCATTCATGACCGCTATCTGGACCCAACGTAAACGTATCCCAGCATTTATTACTTAGAGACGTACGGTATCCGCGAGATGGACACGAACGTCACTTATTTCTTTCCTTCTGCTCAGGTGAATATTCATCGTTTTCCGGCCCAAAAACAAATTCGTAATGCTCTTGTATTCTAGTTCTGGAGTACCTACCTGTCTGCCCCATGTATACACATTATTGTCTTTGAATTTCCAGGTATCTATGAGTGATCGATTGTCGGAGAAGAGTAGGCGGAAAAACAAATCAGCCCTACAAAGGACAGCCGTACAGGGTGATACCAATAGGCCGCACTTCAACCATACCTTCAAGTTCGGTCTGAGTGGCTCAGAAACCGCTCAGAAAAGGGTGCTGCTCGAGGTTTGGCACCGTGACAGGATACTGAGGTAAGAAAAAGTTTTTAAGTTGTTTGTTTTTATAGAGATATCAAAAAAGTTTGATGCAAAATTGAAACGACATGAATGTCTACGTCTTATTGTTTACCAAGGTATCAAATAAAACCAGGTAAAAATATAGGGATCCAAATGTGTCCAATGATTGCCTTGAAGATGCTTGAAGTGTGTTCTTCTATTTTACCCATCAGTCGTTGAATTTCCAGAATGCAATTTTTCGTATAAACAATTATAGGAAGAATCTGATATTTTTGGCATATTTGTTAGACTGTATAGTGTGTGGTCACCCGGTATGAAGAGATTCGATGAGTTTTCATTGAATCTATGAATAATAAATGTGCCAAGACATCAGTTGAAGTTGTATTGAATGAAATGTTGAAATCGATACGTTTGGAAGGTTCCCAGTCAAGTCTTTGCCAGTTGCTGGACTGGATCCCAAACAAGATGATTTATTATTGCAACTATCAAGTCATCTGTCTAATCGTCGTACTTATATCTACCTCACATCAAATTCCACTTCATTCCTGGCTAATTGGCTCGCACTATAGGGGAGAATTTGAAAATGCAATGAAATACAGGGTGTTCCGTTTGAAATAACAAAGTTGTTGCTACTTTTCGATAGAAGCGGTAAAGCCGCCGTATTCCACTGTTTTCTTATAATCTGCTTCCAGCGACCTACAGAGTCTCTGTTTCTTCATCAAAGGGCCACCCTGTATACAGGGTGATTCATTAAAAATGGAAAATCTCTGAACTACAGATAGTAAACACAAAAATAATGAGATTCAGCCCAATATGCCTGATGGGAATGTTGTTGGTTTAGGAGAAACAGGGGGGCTAAATCTTTATATTTGGGTGTTTACTATCTAAACTTCAGGGATTTCCAATTCCTAATTCAATACCTTGAGTACACTTTATTCGGGACATCCATTACTGGATAACCACAGGGTGTAACATTTCGAAATTTGTATATCGACTCAGTCACATAGCAGACTGAATTTTGCCATCACGAAAAGCTATACAGGGTGGACAAAAAATAATCAGTGCATATTTTCAATATTGACACCCTGTATCTCAAAAGTAAGGACGTTTACGACATACAGTGTGTCCCACTTACCATGCTCACCATCGGTATCTTTTTAACGGTGAGATATACGAGGTCGGTTGAATGACACCAAATGTGGAGTTTGTCAAGGCCAACTATAATGTGAAAAAATATTTTGATAAAATCTATTCGTTTTTGTTTTATACGCAAAAAACAGATTTTGATCATTTCCATGTCTCCTCCGTAACTTCTTTATTTATGAAAATATTCAAATAGGAATTTCACATTCTCATGGCAGTTTTTCAAAGTGATTTCGAAAAAATATGGCATTTATACCAACTCTTCTAGAATTTGAGATATCAGCACCAACTTTATTTTTTCAAATGTAGGACATAGCTCACTATGACTTAGTTACAAATAACTTTTTTTTCTCTCACAGATGATATGTCGCAGTAATAGTTTTGTGTTGATTACAACGGAGTTTTCGTCATTTATACGAAAACAAAAAATTATTTGGAAGCCGCCATCTTGAATTTATAAATTTCAACAAAAAAAATCATGATCTCCGACCTCAAAAACCCCTACTCACCAATTTTGAACCGAATCGGACCAAATCTTGTCCGCCATCTTGGAGCAGCCATTTTTTTTAATTTCAACAAAAATGCCATGACTCCGATCACCTTGAAATTTGGCAGGTGTACATAATTTCGGTGACAATACATTATGGAAATTTTGTTGAAATTAAAAAAATAGCTGCTCCAAGATGGCGGACAAAATTTGGTCCGATTCTATTCAAAATTGGTGAGTAGGGGTTTTTGAGGTCGGAGATCATGATTTTTTTTGTTAAAATTTATAAATTCAAGATGGCGGCTTCCAAATAATTTTTTGTTTTCGTATAAATGACGATAACTCCGTTGTAATCAACACAAAACTATTACTGCGACATATCATCTGTGAGAGAAAAAAAAGTTATTTGTAACTAAGTCATAGTGAGCTATGACCTACATTTGAAAAACTAAAGTTGGTGCTGATATCTCAAATTCTAGAAGAGCTGGTATAAATTTCATATCCTTTTCGAAATCACTTCGAAAAACTGCCATGAGAATGTGAAATTACTATTTGAATATTTTCATAAATAAAGAAGTTACGGAGGAGACATGAAAATGTTCAAAATCTGTTTTTTTGCCTATAAAACAAAAACGAATAGATTTTATCAAAATATTTTTTCACATTATAGTTGGCCTTGACAAACTCCACATTTGGTGTCATTTAACCGACCTCGTATCTCTCACCGTTAAAAAGATACCCATGGTGAGCATGGTTAGAGGGACACACTGTATATTCATATGAAATTGTATGCTTGAAATGGGTCGAAGAATCGGCCCCTTGGATATAAGCATATCATCAAGGAACACCCTGTATACAGCTATTAACCAAGAAAGGACAGACTTCAAAAGTCATCGATGGAATTTGAAGGACTCACTCGCGGTATCACCTTCGACAATTTCCCGCTATACCCGCCATACGCTACTGTTGCGCAAACCGACCGTTACCCCTCAGAGCGCAGATCGATGCTTCCGCCTCCATCCCACGTGGAATTTCCCAAGCGGCGGCACCCCGCCGCCTCCGCTATCCCAAACCCACCCCCAAGAACGACAAAGCGAGACGAATACGACGTAGGGTGGGTTTCTCGAGGGTAGTTTCACAGTGCGGATGGTAGAAGCCATCAGCAGAGTTGCCGTTTTTAGTACTATTGTGCTGTTCTAGTACATTTTATACACATTTTAGTACGTCAATACAATTAACATTAATCTAGTACAAAAACAAGAATCGGTATAGCCGGTATAAGAAACAATTAGTTGCAGAAGAAATGTTATAATTGGAATCCTAATAATGAAGCTTTGCCTTTGGAGTTTGAGTCATCTATTTTATCTTTATTGTTAGTATGATAGTATTTGATCTCAATCTATAATTTGATCCGTTCCTTCTCATCTTTAATTTTCGGCTTTTATTTGTTATAATTGTTTGATGACTTACGTTTCTCAGAGGAGTTTCAATCTGCTGTATATTGCATCATGCCATGTTTTTTTTTTTCGAAAACTGTTTCTGCTATTCACGAATTTCTGTCTGAAAAATGCGAATTTGATAATGACAATGTGAACAACCCACTATTTATGCAGATATTTCAAGAAAAAAACTCGATTTTTCTCCTTATTTTTCCTCCTGTGTTGGATGCATTTACAGATACTTGCTGTTGTTATTTTGTCATTGGACACTTAATACACTCATGAGGTACTTCAATGACTTCATTTTTATATAGATATATGATTTTCAGTGAACAATCATACCCCATATGACGGCCATTTAATCAATAGTCAATCCAAATACAAGTTGTCAAATGTAAACAGATTGTTGTTGAATGACATCATTTCAAATGATTTTCTTCCATCTTTTCACTAATTATCGATAAATCCGAATAAATCGCAAGAAAATCATATTTCTAGTTGACTTATATGGATAGAAAAAAATGTGTCATTGAAGTACATTGTGATATATGATGATGACAACTTGCGTATGTGTTGTTTATTCTTCATGGCAATTGCGATTTAGTGAAATCAAATTAAAACTAAATCTAAAATGTTCAACCTCGAATATCTCGAAAACGGCTGAACCAAATATCAATGACCAATATATTTTTGGAATCAGGAAGAAAAGATCTTCAATTTTCACGAAAAATATATAGGGTGTTCCATTGAAAATAACGAAGTTGGTACCCATTTCTTATATCAGCGATATTTATTTGTTTCATCTGGTATAATTTTCTGGAGGTTCAGAACAAACCCTACAACTTTTGCATTCAAAGTTTCTCTCTATCTTCAATGATAAACCCTGTAGAAGCTGTTTAAATATACGGAATGACCCTGTACCAAAAAAAAATTTCGAAAAATTGAACCATCGCATGATAAGTGCAGTTTTACCTGGATCTTCATAACATGAATATAAAGTTTTTCATCAAATGTGTGAATCGTAATTTTTTAAGTGTTATTGCCTCAATTTAGTACAATATACTTGAATCTAGTACAATTTCGGAATGACTTCTAGTACAAATAGGAATTCTGAAACGGCAACACTACCCATCAGTCCAGTTACCACCCCCGTACGGGACCGGCGAAGGGAGGCGGATTTCAATGGTAAGCGCGATCGTGGTTTGTTTGGCGGGCGAAGAAAATTTTCGGGATTCTCGGTGGGAAAAGGAGTGCCGCAAGGATGTGTACGCAGGGGGTGAGCTCGCCAACTTGTTTTTTAGAAATTACTACGGCTGCCTTCGATTCCGAAGCAAGAAAATGTTTCTTGACGTCTGTCTAATACGAGCTTCTCGAACAAGGTCATCCCGTATATTTAACTAGCTTCTAAAGGGTTCATCATACAGGATAAAAGAAAACTCAAATTTCAAAAGTTGTAGGGTAGTTGGTTCTGAACCTCCAGGAAATTGTACGGGGTGAAACAAATGGCTATCGCTGATATAAGAAATGGGCACCATTTTCGTTATTTTCTTTGGTACACCCTATATACAGAGAAGTGCGCAAGAAACGGCAAGGATTGTAACTTTCTAATTATTCTAGATAGGGTTTTGAAAATTGGTGGGTAGCAAGTATACCAAATTGCTCATTAATTGTTGAAACAATTTTTTTTCTGTCACTTCCAGTTTCACCGGAAACGACCCTAACTTTTGATTTTTAAATGGGACTCCCTGTATTTCATTCCATATTCGGTTAGGGATTATCATGACGAATTCAACGATACCGGGTTTGATAGGGTTATTTCAAACAATTACCGAGATATTTGCATTCGAAGTTTCCATGTGCTCAATGGGTGTGACTTCGCAATATCAAAACTTCTTTCTCTGTCACACTCATTGAGCTTATAGAAACTTACGCGAATACCTGTGTAATCGTATAATATAATCCTATCAAACCCGGTATCGATGAATTCGTTTCTGAATATTTCTTTTTTGAATTTAAAAATATATAGGTTGTCGATATTCAGTTCGGTATCGTTTATGAACTATTCGGGGTCAAAAATCTTAGAATCAGTTATAGTTTCATTTAACCATACCGCGATTGCAATGAAGAATCAACAACAAATATAGCAGGTAGCACAGATTTGTGAAATAACGTCTTATTGACGTCTTTTTCGAGTCATTATTGGCCCAAGACGTCCTCGCCTGCAGAGAGACCTAAAAATGACGTGATGTTTCATGACGTCATATCGACGTATATAACTGAAGATCATAAAGACATCCCAACAGAGTCAACTCTTTATCATTAGTGAACTAAACCTATTGAGATCTTCTGATATTTTATTCAGAATTTGCAGTAAAATTTGAATCCCCTTCATCATCAGTTTGCGAAGGAATGTAATAGTACATTATACATCAAGGGACAGAAATGCAAGATTTTTTCCAAGGTGCGAATTGTAGTTCGAAGGCGAAGCCTGAGAGATACAAAGCGCCGAGGGAAAAATAGCATTCTGTCCTGAGGTGTGTATATACTATTTTTTACGCTGGCGAAAACACAGAAAGAATAAAAATTTAATCAAAGTGTTTTGTCATAATTAGAAGTAGTAGTTTGTGGAATTCGTATCTTGACAACATGCATCTTGTTGATAACCCATGGTGACAGCAAATATCAAACTGAAATTTATGAAAACAGCTTTGGAAATGGTTAACGATTATGGAACAAGAAATCGAGAGATAAGCCCCAAGAAACTATTGATACTGCTTCTGCAGTGATTCTTAACTTGCTACCAGTGAGATCTAGAAATCTGTAGCTTATACTCGCTTCAGAGAAAGGTGTTCCGTAAAGAAAGCGCAGAAAGATGGTATAAACTCCCTAGGGAGAAAATATGTCACATTATCTCCCTAGGGACTAATAAGAAACTTCTGTCCCTCTTCTGTTACCACAGAAACTAATTTCTATTCCCACCGGCGTAAAAATAATGTTATCTTTTCAGTTGTACGAAAGAGAAATCAAAAAATCAATCATACTCCCATAATTAGTGATTTAAACATAGAAAATAAATTTGAGCATCTAATCTATAGTGATTTTACTGAATATATGGACAGATTTGAGATATAGGTATGGGGAATAGGTACTTATCAAATATCTTATCAAGGTAGCACAGGAACATGAGAAGTCCAACATTTTTCCGTCCCTCCGGAAGAAAGAATCAGTGGTTTTCTTACCTTTCCATCGTCTTTTTTTAGTTTATTATGGGAGAAATTCTGAAAATTCCCAATTCTCATTGAGATTAACTCACTACCAAATAAGCAGCCACCTAAAAGGATTTCTCACAGTGTAGCAGTTACTCATTAGAGCTATTAGATATCTAATATTACGATCCTGATGAAGTAGATTACAAATTTAATATGCTGCATCCTATGAATTAACCCAGCGAATGATAGTAATCTCTAACAAAGATTCGATAATGAATTCAACCATTTCCTCACTTTTATTATCCTCATTATAACCACAGATTTCTCTCATCATGAAGTCTGTTGAAGGAAATTATGCTCTGAATCGACTATTCATACAGGGTTGAGTCTGAAGATGAAGAACAATTCTTTTTACATTCTCCAGATATTTCTGAGAGACTTCACAGTTCTTACATAGTACATTATTATCGTTGTCAAATACAAAATATCTCTGAAACATTTGCGGAATATTCGCAATATAATGTAATAATAATGATTATTTTGTTCAAATCTGACGTTTTTGTGGTTTCAACCTATAGCAATCCGTTATTCTAGGCCTTGATATTATACATTGAACTCTCAAAACAAAACTATGAATATAGAGTGGAAACTCAACTGCGTTAATTCTTTTTATCTACAACTATGGAGTCATTCATACATCACTAACTCGATTTTCAACATTTAATGACATACATTATTGTGATGAATCGGGTAATAAGAGTAATAATGACAGTAGGATGGCGTGATAATCTGAAATCCCATCGTCTTGTCAAATTCAACTAGGTAGGTATTCGTTCTACTAGTTCTACTGAAGCACACCACTATAGATCTGTTTGAGAAATACACGAAAATTCAAAAGACTCACTTATCTCTCAGTTTTAATCACCTCAATTCTACAAATACTCGGAAATATGAGAATTCACTGTAGTGAGTAACCATAACCATAAAATAGGTCTTGACACTTGACAGTTGCAAATTGACTCACACTTATGTGCGGGCTATTCAAATAGATTAGTACAGACCAATCAGAACCATGGAACTTTATTGTTTATAACTGGCGTCTAGAGATAGGGAACTACAATTAATCATCGTGGTGGGGGAATGCTACAGCGGAAGCTAGTTAATAAATAATCTGCTAGTTAATAAATAATCTGGCAATAGTATGATTCATTTTACAACTGAAAAGTGAAGTGGTAAGATTGACTGATATGTGATTGCACGACTTTTATCCTGTTAATAAAAGTTAGATCCAACATTGTTTATCATATTCTCACAATCAAAATTATTGAAATAAGTTATAAGCTGTTATAAGACTATTACCCCACTCAGATGATTACAGCACTGGCCTTCGGCTCGTTCTGCAACTTCCATCTTCGTGGGTAATAGCCATCATTATGCGCTCGTTGAATAATATACTATTATCTGATAAGAATATATAATATAAAACTGTTTTAATCTTCTCCTGAAGATGCTAACATAGTTGGCGAAATACGTGTCAAGGCGTTTAAAAAATCGGTTTCGTTGGTGGTAAAGCAGTGTAGTGCATGGTTAATGTCATTGTTTTTCAGCAAGTTTCGTATTTCATTGATCTCACCTCGTATCTAGTCCCACAGTAAATTTATTCATACATTCAGGAAGCGCTCCCTCGTCATTTATCCGCATGATCCCTTTCTTAGATAATGCTCTCGGCAGATTTACCTTTTGCATTCGTGATAAACTTGGCAATAACTTCGAAAAGAGCCACGCTGTAGACATCGATTGCTTCATGCTCGAAAGGGAAAGGGTGTGGAATATTTTAAGGGACGGAATACGCTGAAAATAATTGTTCATATAACGAATCACTATTCTGAGTCGTGAAGACTCTATGGTACCTCGAACTGAGAATCCTCATTATCTGAACTGCGAAAATAATTATCATATATAATACCACAAGTGATAATATTTTGCCGGAAATATTCGGTGATTGATACGACAGCTTGTTGCCTAGTAATTTCGTGAATGACATTGTTATCAAAACTACGAGCAGTAGGCGAGTAGTTTTGGATCAATGTCATGAGCGAAATTAGAGCAGCAAGCTGGAGTATGTCAATCGACGAACATTTCCAGGAAAAATAGTATCACGAGTTGTATTCGTATGACTATTTCATGATTGAATGAGACAATATAATATAGGAAATAGGAAAAATAATTTAAGTATATTCCAACTCGAACTGCGAAGATCATAATGATAGTAATGAAATACAGAATTCAATTTCTTAGAAATTAACTACCTTTTTATAGTTATTCACAAAGTGGAATGTACAACTTTGATAAACAGTATTTTTTTTATCATCTTGGAGATGGTTGCTCTCAAAAGAGTGTATACAATTGCTATCCAAATCAAACAAAATAAATTGAATTTATGTGACATGGAATAATTAAAAAAAAGATGTCATCGCCGAGGGCTCGAACCATCGACCTTCGTATCCACGCGCAACAACCCTATGAGTTGCGCTACATCAGCTGGTAAATATGACAGTCAGTCAAAATAACTTGAGTGATTACTGAAGATTACTTTAAAAAGGAATTTGAATTCTAGTATTGTTGTGTCAGACTGTCAACAAATATGCAAACTTTTTAAATTACACATGAAACGTCCAGCCAGAATAAAATTGTCTCGCCTTTCGTACAAAATATCTCACTACCGCGAATTATAAGTAAATAAAATGAAGTAGGAACTTAGGTTATTGTCTCAGATTTGGATCCAAAGCAATCTTGACCAGACACGATGTCAAAATTTTATCGCTGATAAACGAGGTTTGTTGGTCACGTGTGGGTCAATTCGGCTTCTGTATTGGTAGAGCAAGTCCGAGAAAATTTAATAAACAAAAAATATCGCTAGAATACAGAAGAAACCGTGAAAATGGTCGATTCTGATTGGTTCTCGAGATCAAGAGTGGAATAGTCTTCAATATTCCATTAGGAAAATACACCAGTCTGGAAATGACTTTCAATTCATTGTGAAAAGTACTATCTCTCGAAGTAAGGA